GTCAGTTGATACTGGAAGACTTGAGCCAGGAAGCACCAAGGCTCAAGTCTGCCTTGAAATGTCAAGCATTGTGCTGTAAGACCTTTTGACTGACAGTCAAATAATAAGTTGTACAAAGTGGATAGGATAATGAAGAAGGATGACTAACTCCACACAGTTGGTATTCCCACAGGATAAACACATCAAACCTGGTTTTGGAAGGGATAAAGCAGGCTAACACTAAGCATCTGAAATGACCTTCCCAAAGCCCTGACCTCACTCAGAAAATCTGTGGACTATGCTTATAAGCTGAGCTGATTCAACAAACCAACAAATCTAAATGAACTCTGCCAAGAAGATGGGTCAACTACCCAGCCCCCAAAATATGCCAGATACTTATTGAGCAATTAAGGTGCAACTTCCTAAGGAACATTAAACCAAATTTTAGAGGGAGTGTATGTATATATTTGAGTCTGTATGTATACTTTTGACACTGTGTGGATTCGAGAAAATCCCAAATAAATTCAATCTTGTACATTCAGTTCTTGCTTTTTAAAGTCATTAAAGATGTCATTCCACTGTGGAAAAAATAACAGTTCAAACGAATCATTTAAAGCCCAAAATTACTATGAGATTCATGTTCATGATGAGTGTATGCAAACTTCTGATCACAACTGTATATGCATAAATAAATATCACGCCTCTTAATCGAGGTCAATGCATCTACCCGTTTGTCTCTCTATGAGCACCAGAGTGTCCTCGGTGGGGGCTCCTTCCAGGAGCTTCTCCGTCAGACGGCTGCCACAAGCTTTAAGTAACCTGGAAGTGAGGTGAGACCACTCATTAGCCGGGTGAGAGACTGACTGGAAAAAGAAGAACAGTTTCTTTGAACCTAATGACTCACCAGCTAAAGGAGGAGTGCAGGCTGGCCCAGAGGTTAGGATGCTGGGTGAGCGAAGTCAGCGATCGGGCTGCATTGCCGCTCCTTTGGTGTGGAAAAACTGCAGGTGAAAATGCACTGTTCATCCTCACAGCTCGCTGGGGACAAACTCCCTGTTCATTGTCAAACACCTAATGGAAAGGACAGTCCAAAGACATCAGAAGCACTAATAAGTCTGCTGAGTTTATTATGTTTATATACGTGCTCTACCTTTAGAGCTGTGCTCTGCAGACTCTGTATAGTAAGCTTCAGGTGACGCAGCAGGAAAGGCCAGGAGTTTATAAGGTAGATTCTGTCCATGGCTACCATAACAATACTGTACCAACGCTGGAAGCCTCTAGCGAGACTGTCTTTGATAAAGAAGGTGTGTGAGAACACAAATCCATGTTGCTCGTCTCCAAAAAAAATGGGCCCTTCACGTCCGGGACACACCTGACACCAAAACAAACAGAAAACACAACAAAGTATATCAGTAATCAGCCGATTAAAGCCCACAGACAACACCCACATAAACATGTCACTAATTACCTCACAGCTGAGACTGCGTACGCAAGCCTGTCGGACCACGCTGAAAAGCTGGGGCTGTCTGGGGTGCTGGTGACTAAGGAAGCGGATGCCTGTTTCATCATCAATGCTAACAAAGCCCGGGTGAGATGCAGGCAAGGATCGGCAACCCTACGAGACAAAGAAAAAAGGAAATCAGTACTTTAAGGCTGAAAATTAATGAAGGAACAAATAAAGCGAGGGATCCAAGCATCTGATAAAGTCACAGTCAGGCCCCTTCTACTCACCTCACACATTTCTTTCTGTGTGGCTGAGCTGTTGGCCTTCATGGTTAGACCTTCACCATCACGGTCACCATCTCGGTCCCCTGGCATTTGGGCACCTACCTGGGATGAAGGGGATGGGGAAGGCGGGTGTAGTGCCTCAGTGCAGAACAGGGTTCGAGGGCCATGGAGCTCACAGAAGTGACAGAGAGCCACCAGAGCATTCATCTGAAAGAACAAGACAAGTTTTCATATGTTTACTGTGCTAAAGATGTCTGATTTAGATCAGGACACCCACATCTAGTTCTGGTTAATCACTGACGTTACCAGATTACACTGGGGTTAAAATACGGGTACAAGTGGCAGTATGAGACGGTCTTACCTTCAGTGCAGAACCACGTTCAACAAATGACTGGTGACACTTCACAAAGAGGTATTCATTGGACGTAGTGTTCAAAAAGCCGTGCCGTTAAAAAAATAACAGCGCCGTGAAACAAAATCAAATCTTCATCGAGCCTGTATTTTAAAAAGCCATCGTTCCTAACATTTTAATTGAGGCTTTCTACACTTTTTTGTCCTTTGTGTAGCTGCCAGCAGGCAACAAAAACAGACCTCGTCACATGATGCAGAGTCACGCGCTCCGGCACAAGTGACGCGTGCCAACTGCTGCTCATTTTCTCAGTTTTATCCGTCGAATCAAAAACATCTTTAATGCTTTACCAGTGACGCGAAAGCACGCGAACATATTTAAGAGTTTTTCGACTTTTCTGTGTTCCAATATCAGGCTTTATGTACGACAAACGAGCCATTCCTCGGCAAACGAAAAAGTGGAACTACATTACCCATAACCCAATCTGGTATAACAAACATGGGGTTAAAGGGCAATTAAAAAAAGTCGGAACTGTTTTCATTGAAGGTTTGTGTACTAAAAGGTATGTTCCGGTTGATTTATAAGCGTATATATGGTTTGATTATGCTATCTTAGCAGACTAGCTGGTTTATTAGCTTTTCTTTTAACACTGTACAACGTTAATCCGTCACTTCCGCATTAAAACATGAAATTTTTATAGGTGTGTCACTCTTAAGTAGTCAACAAAGAGATAACTTGCACACAGTGAGTGACACAGCAGATTTTTCTGACTTTTAAATCTCAGATCTTAGGATGGCTTCAGGTGGATCAGGAGTTCCCCCCACCGACCCGACTGACACACCGAGTCCACAGGCAGGGGTCCCCGCTGACTCTCAGAGTGGCAAAGACACCCCAAAAGCCAAAGGAGGTAAATCAGTTTCGCACATTTACTATATGTAATCTAAAGTGAGTCTGTGAAAGCTTCTAAGGTGGTTTGAAACACATCTTGTTATTAGACATGTACAGTAAAACCTTGCTGGTTGACTCATATAATTACACCAGCTTATTATTTTCCTAGTAATCCACTTATAAATCATATTGTTCAGCCTGTGGTGTGAGTTCTGGCCAGGTCTTAGTTTTGTAATCGCGTGGCCGGATCCTCTTATCATCAGAAGGGGGGCTGAAGGATGGAGTCCAGTACTGTATTGAACTGTTTCCTACATTTTTCACGTCCTGCTGGGCCACTCTGCTTAGCTGGAAATGTTTCAGGATTGACTGACTCTGATCTGCCCGCTTCTGCTCCCACTCGGAACTCAGCGGACTAATCTGTGGATTAACTTTATTTATACTAAAGAATTTCAAAGTTGTAATGTTTAATTACATTTACTTATAGGCATTCGATTTAAGAGAGTTGAAAACTCTCCCAAAACTTGTGGCTGATCCAGACAACCATCTCCCTTTCTAATAAATAACTCAGAGCTAATAAGTAAAGTATTTGTGTCATGAGTCACGTCCATTTCTCCTGTCTCTAAATAGTATTGCAGGATGCGTGTTATTTGGGTGTAAAGGCAACTTCGTCATGTACAGCATACTTGGCTGACATTTGAGTCCTCTGAGTTGAGTCACTGCCACCTGTCATATGATAATACTCAGTGGAAGTGGACTGGAGATGGACTGTACACATCATTTTCTCCATGCCTCTTTCTCACTCATTCATTTATGACACAGCATGGTAACGGGAATGATAAGAGGGTTTTCTAATAAATGAACAGACGATAAGGAATCCTTTTTCCAGATGTCTGTGTGAGTGACATAGACTGATGCGGAAGCTCATATAAGGCATCAGCCAAAATGTAAACGCACGCAGAAGGAAACGGTGAAAATCTACATGAACAAAAATCAGAAAGAAAAGTACTGCACAGCTCTCATGGCTGATCTGACAGCTGCTCATCGGTGGTAGCAGTAGAAAAAACAAAATCCAAGAGAACTTGCTCAGTATTATGTGGTGCAAGGATAATCATATACAGTAAAAGCCCTGTGGTACTTCATCAGGATCTCAGATTTCTTTCTTCCATTTTACTTTAAGAATGAACTTAAAACTTGTAATTTTACCAGAGGCCAAAGTGGCTCATTTGTTTTCTATGGTTACAATTACACCACATAATTTTACAAATTTTTCATGGATTTTGTTCTAAGTAGAAACATACTACATCTTCTAAAAGTATGGTATAAGTAGCACATGTGTGATCTGATATAGTTCATTTATCAATCATATCGCTTTGCTGAACACTTTAACTTAACAGCGACTACAGTCTGATAGATGAAGATAGTTTCACTGATAGTGAAAACTACTATAAACTAACAGGGTGTAAATTTCCTCTGTTTTACAGCTGGGATCAATGTGAAGAAATACAATCTTAGAACTCGCAGTTTTTGGAAGTTGGACTTTTTGTAGGATTCAGCGTAGCCCATGACCCAGTCACACAGGGTCAGCAAGGAAGTACATTTGGGTAGTGATGTTGTTTCTTATGAAACTCACTTGTTTTAACTTTAAAATACCATCACCTCTGTGGATCGGCTTGTTTTGCAAAGAGAAAGCACAACTGAATCAGGAAGAAGCTAAAATGAAAGGTGTCTGTCTAAATTTGGCAGAATTCTTGTGAACTTGCAGACTGACACCAGCCACACTGTCTTTTTTTAGAGATCTAAAGAGGGGCACAGCATTTTTACAGCTACAATTAAAAAAAAAATAAATTCATAACATAAATCTAAGTCAGTTATGCTAATAAATTATGCAGCAATCTTAGCAGAAGATTACAAGTTTCTCACATTGACTTTTTTGGCCTGTGAAAATGAACAAGGGGCCTGGGTAAAAGTCAGCTCTACAGTTCTAGTGGTCCAATGGCGAAAAACATTATTTTGAGTACTGCCTTATTGTAGCAAAGACGGGTACCTAAAATTACGAGTGACCATATAAGATGTAACATGCCTTGGGACTGCTTTAAACAAAACCTGTTGATCTCTGCTGCCATTACATTGTTTTTTTCTGACATAGTTTGAATGCAGAAGAAAGGATGAAATGCTGCATGACTTCTGTTCAGTGTTATTAAACGTTGGCTCTTTTTATTTTTAACCTTTTGTTCTGTCTCTCCCTCTGGTGCCCTGTCTTTCAGAGTCAGCAGAATGTTGCAAGGATGGAGCCAAAGTGTGCCAGTTTTTCCGGATAGGAAAATGTCATTTTGGCCTCAAATGCCGTTTAGCTCACAGGTTTGCTCTCATTACTTTATTCAGAAAAGTCATCAGAAGCATAAATGAGGATTTATAGTTTTTTCCAGATCATTTCTTGGCATCTTGTGGATTTATTTTCAAAATTAACACAAAAGACTTTGGAAATTATTGTAGAATAGCTGCTGTTTATCTTCAGATCACAGATGTTAGAAGCTTGGTTTGGAGACAGAGAGACATGGATGTAAATATCTTTGGAATGACCTTTTGTCTGCATTTTTTTTTTATCTGCAGGACAGTTGGCTAGATATGATGAATACTCTCACTGATGAAATTTCTGTCTCAATCTCCTTGTCTCTGCATTTTTTCCACTGCTGCTCTCTTTCTTAGTGACCCATTACAGGATGATTCAGGGGCTCTGTGTCCTGGTGTGGATGAAAAACAGGAAGAAGAAAAACACAAGAACAAGAAGGGCAGTGTGAATAAAGTGCCAAAACCAAAACACAACGAGAGAACAGGTGACTCCGCATTTAATTAACTTTCTGTGAGATCATACTTCCATGAGACCAATTACGCTTTATACTCTTGGAACTTGTCCGTTCACTTTTTTTTAACTGTTTCTCTTCAGCAGAAGTGAACAAAAAGCCTCGTATGCGCACAGCAGATGAAGTAATCTCCCGGATCCTGTGGGACCCATCGGTGGACGCATCAGAATTTGTAGTGGGCTATGTGGATCGATTCCTCGGCGTGCTGGAGCGCCCCTTCTGTGACTTCAACTGGGAGACCAACCCGTGTGACTGTGATTACACTGTTGAGCTGGCCCTGCCCAGACACAGGATCCAGTACTTCACTTACAGAGGGCACCGTGTCTGGGACCGCCACACCAGGACTGACCGAGTTTTCGGTTCCACAGGTCAATCTCTGGCTCCCCCCTTTGGAGGGGAAGAGGAAGTAAGAGGTAGGACAAGCAGCTTTGGTGCTGCCAGACCTTACATGTGACCACATGCATTCTGCAAGATGACTGAATGTTACGTTTTGTTTTAGAAGAAAATACAGCAGCGCTTGAAAGAACTAACGAGCAGCCACCTGCAGAGGAAGAGAAGCCGAATGAGACAAATATTCACACCCCTGAGTCTGCACCACCACCACCACCAGAGTGTACAGGAAACACTTCTCAGGAACAACAGGAGTCACGAGGACCATGTGTTGTGGAGGAGGCTGCAGATAGGTCTGGTGTTCGTGTTGCTCGTTTAAATATAACTCAGAACAGATCTTAAGTAAAAGAACCCCCACCCCCCCAAAATCATTGTTAGCATCTACACATTGTTTTCCCAAATCACTTTGTGCTAAATGTTAAAACACTTAAAATGAGAAAGATGCTTGAGGATCTTCAGCATCAGTGATTTGAGGCAGAATATAAGGGTGGGGGTATATTATAGTAAGAGATTTAAATCAGACCGTTTCTGATTGGAGCATTCAAATGGCATGTTACTATCTAGAGGTCTGAGGACCTCCACCCACATCTCTTTCACTCACACCTCTGCATCAGGAAGACGAGAATAAGAGAAAAGCTGTGTGTGTGTGTATGTGTTAGTCCCCATAGGGAAATAGTTCCTCTGCATTTAACCCATTCACCCAGTGAAGCAGTGGGCAGCCACCAGTGCAGCGCCCGGGGAGCAGTGTGTAGGGACGGTACCTTGCTCAGGGGTACCTCAGGGTAGCCGTTCAGTGGAGTCGAACCCCCAACCTTCCGATCATGGGGCCACCACTCTACCTACTGAGCTATCCCTGCTGAGAAATGCACTCCAGTTATAGCTTGCCTTCCTCAAATAACAACCTCATTCAGGCTTTTGTGACACATGTTAGGTATGTAACAAGCTGTAAGAGAATGAAAAGAACTTGCAATTAGAAGTTAGAGAATGGATTTTTCAAAATGTGTGTTTACAGCTGGCTCTTTATTGATTTTGCTCACCTGCTTTGATTCCAGACATCAGGTTTCAGCCGATCAGAGTTCCTCAACCGAAGAGGAGGCACCGGGTGTAAAAGAGGAGGGTGAGGGGGAGATTCTGCCAGAATGGGAGGAAAGCTGGGAAGGCCATGAAAACTGTATAGTGAGTACAGCACATCTCACCGTGAAATCTTGCTTTTACACTGTATGTTATGTTATTTGAATGTTCCCTTTCTACTACAGAGTTATCCTGCAGCCCAACAAGTTAGCAAGAATCCATCTGTACCTCTGGAGCGGAGAGAAGAGAAGCGTGGTGGTCGCCCCCCTAAGAAGAGACCCACACACTTCATCACCTTCCGGGCCAACACTCCTGCCATCCTCTCCTGTTTCCAGCAGTTGCAGAAGGAGCTCACCTCCCTCATACCTTCCTCTGCTCCTCACTGGCAAACCGCCTCCAGCCTTCACGTCACCCTGTGCCTCCTGGTGCTGCACAGCCCCGCTGAGGTGGCGGCTGCTGGGGAGATCCTCCAACGGTTTGCACAACTGGACCGAAACCCGCCGGTAGCTGTGACCTTTCCTGTGAAGCTGAAACATTTCAATGGGAAGGTGCTGTACGTGAGTCCTCAGCCTCAGCTCCACCTACAGCAGCTCAACAGCGGTCTGCAGGAGGCCTACAGGAAAAAGGGTTTTCTTCACAGGGACTCCTACAACCCACGCTACCACCTCAGCCTGGCCAGGGTACTGGACAGGGAGGCCGAGAGGATATTTGAAGGTGTGGGGGACCTGAGGGTGGGGAAGGGCTTAAACTTTGGGCGTCTGCCAGTTAACACCTTACACCTTTGTGCCATGGGCGGCTCTAAAGTAGACGGTTTTTATGAGAGGGTGTGCACGGTAACACTTCGATGATAAAGAAGTCTGATTTGCAGACATTACTGGGTGCAATAAGCCACGCCTTTAAGGTGTCGCGGATAAATACAACAAAATAAAACTAGTACCGGTACCGAAAAAAAGAAGATTTATTCATAACACACGTGAAAAGACCCAGGAAAACCGAGTTAACGATAAAAACGATAACAAAATAACGCTGAAAACCGATAAAAACCCTGAAAACCATACATTTCACACCTGAGCCTCAACTCTCGCGGCCCGGTACCAAACAACTCACGGACCGGTACCGGTCCGAGGCCCGGGGGTTGGGGACCGCTGTGTTAAGGTACTAAATCTCATGTTTCATATTTCTAGATGAGATATAGAGGAAAGAAAAGGGCGGGGATGGGCTGTAAACATCACTAAAGCTTAAAACAACATCCTGGCTACAATACAACATATAAATAATTAATCCACAATTTTAAAAAAACTGCTTAAGGTGCTGAAGTTTTTAGAGCAGCAGTCCATTTTAAAAATGTTAGCTCTGGTTCTTTTAGCCATGGATCTTTACTGCACAGTTTTCATGTTATAGTGTCCTCAGTGTCATCAGCCTGCTTAAATTCTGGTTCACTGGTGAATTCAGTGGTTGTGATGTTTTATTTGCTACAGCTAATCATATTTGGGGAAAATCCAGAAACGAATCCATAATTGTTTAATAATCAATAAGCCAAATAATGTTTTGCTTGGAGAGCCTTTTTTATGTAGAGACAGTAAAAACCATGAAGAACTGTTTGTGCAAACATGAGCTGGAGCTCAATAATATTTATGTCTAATTGACTCGGGACCATGAGTTTGATAATATCAATATTGTTTTTATTTCTATGAAGAACTTTAAGAATGTTTTAATTGGTCATCTGTTTTTCTTGGTGCAGAAATGCTTGTTATACTTTATATCTGATGGGCCTAATGATTGGGGTTAACGTTGACCTGTAAGCATGCTTAATTTACACTGTTTTACTACTGCACAGACAATAAATTTGAAGCTGATTATGGACACATAAAGTGTTCTTTTTATAGGCCTGAATAATTGCTGTTCATAATTCAGGGACTTGTACAATGGGTTTTATATGAATGTTGCATGGACTGCGCTCCAACAGAATGATCCCTTTGTACTCTTTTTACAAATGATTATGACCACTAGATTATCATGTGGATTAAATATTGAATTGGTTATTTTAAAGTCGTGTGAGTGGTGATGTGCCAGCGCCGTTATAAATGCCTTCATTGTGGTGCCGAGGATGTGGAAACGCTCCCTGAGCTGAAATCTTACATGCATCCCTTTCTGCTCCCCCTTCTTCTTCCTCCCAGATACATAAACACTATACATAGAGTATATGAGTCAGTGAGTATGCTCTCTGGCTCTCAATCGTGTCTGCACTCCCTCCCTTGCATTATCTCCCTTCCCCCACTCTTTTTCAGTGACACAGAAAAACTAACGCCGCCCCCTCCCTCTTTGCTCGCCTGCTTCTGCCCCCCTTACTCCAGTGGCAGACAACACCGTACTCTTTTTTTTTTTTTTTTTTTTTTTTTTTAAACTCGTTCTCGCTGCAACATTATGTCGTCAATTTGCATTTTCTCAGTCCAATCCCCCCCACCCGCGACCCAACTGAACATCTCCATCCGTGCACTCCCATCACTTGTGTCACGTTGTTGCACATTCTCCGCTGCCTCCCAGTCTCTGAATCACTGTTGATGTTGTCCTGCAGCCTCCGCTGAAAACTGGTTTTGCCTACAAATCCATTGCATGCTGCTTTGCCCCTCTCTGTTCATTGTTCACTCCATCTCTGGCTCCCTCCCTCTTTCTCTCAGCATCACTCCCTGGGAACCCACTTTTTTTTTTTTTCCTTTCACTCAGTATTTCATGTTGCCTTTCTCTGCATCTCCCACTCCCCGTTTTCTTCTCAGTGTGCCTCTCTTCCCCCATTTTTCTGTGCATCTCTTCCTCTCATTAGCCCTCATCAGACTGAGAGAGGAGTTCACTATTGTGTATCCAGCGTGTGAGTGGATTTCTAAAAATCTCTTTTTCCTGATTTGTTTAGTGCACACAGTTGGCCGGCAGCTTTGCATTTTTACTCTTTCTCTTGTTAATCTGGTCAGGGTTCAGTCTGGTGCTCTGGAGAGAGATTGGTCAGGTTGATGTTGGTGGTGGTCGGCATTAGAAGTGCGCCCCAGCTATGAAGTCAGCGAGGGGTTAGACTCCGCTAATCCGCGTTAACAGATTAATTATCTTTGGGTAATATCGTGTCACTGCGGTGTTGTGAAGTCGCTCGGGTGTTAGGCTATGAAGGGCTACAGTGCAACGATAAAGAGTCCCTTAGGGGTGTCTCCTCAATCTTAATCCCCCTTTCTCTCTCTCCCTCTCTCTCTCTCTCTCTCTCCCTCTCTCCATCTATCTCACTCTCTCCCACTCTCACTCACTCGCGCTCACTCAGAGATCCTCTCCCATCCATCAACACAAGCACCTCTCTACTGTCATCAGACGACCAGACACTTATCGGCCATTTAATATTTAAATAACTACCAGAATTGCCGTCTTCATTTTTGTGCTTTTTGTCATATTTTTGGCATGTCTCCAAGCCATTTTTTCAGGATGATGTTTTCTCAAGAGCATCAGGCGGTGATGGCTGGCAGTATACCTCTCTGAGTGGTTAAATATTTCACGGACGCCGGCAAAGAGAAGAGACAGAAGGAGAGAGAAACCTCCCAACACAACCGACAGAGGTAAGAGACTGACCCCTCTCTTTGCCGATTACTGGCTTAATTGCTGATGTACATGCAGAGATTGGCCAATTAAAAATGTACATTACGCCAAATCACAGTGTTTTCCCAATTTGGGCTCACGCTTATCTTGGCAAATATGATTAATGGATGATCATGACACCATTAGACTGTGTTGCCAAAGGAGATCCATGCTTATCTTTTCCAACCATGACACTTAATACGGGTCTGCTGCCTATCAGAGTAATGTGAAAATGCTGTAATGAGTTTTATTGCAGTTTCTCAGGGAAATCCAATGTTTTTTCCACCTAATTGGAGTTTCATATGACTTGGAGCTTCTCTTTTTTCATGATTTTCACCATCTGCAGGATGATTTACTGTCATCAGTGGGAACAAACTGTCTCACCCTCAACTTCATGCCATGCTGGACCCCTCGCACACATCACAGCTTTGATTTGCACTGACTTTCTGAGTACGAGCTGCACTCGCTTACCTTCGGTCAGCTGACTTTGAAGGTTCATTGTTGCAGCTGAACATTAATTTTGAACATAGATGTGAGGTAGAAATTTATTTTGAGGTTTGACTGTCCCTCGGCTTTTACATGGGCGAGAGATTCAACTATACAGAGATGTTACTGAATTTCTTCTGGCTGATGAAGTGTCAAGAGGGTTTTTTTTTAATGTTGTCTCATAAATTCTGGTTATCAAGGTTGGTTTTAAGAAGCTCCACGCACAGGCTGTTATGTGAACGATAACAGGTTTTATGAGCCCAGACTGCAAACGAGCATAGTTCCAGCAGCAAGCCAACAGCATTATTTATATCTTGTGATTCAAAGAGATGTAGCCTCATAAAAAAAAGAAAAGGTGCAGAATGATTTTCCTCGTGCTAAAGATGATCCTAAATTCAGCTGACAGAAGATGCTTCAGCCTTATTCCCATTAGCTGCCTCACAAAATGGCCCTTTTTTAAAAAAAATTCAGACATCATGGAGTCTCGTATAAACCAACTGACTACATCATCTGTGTTTTCTGAGCTCTGCACAGACAGAAGACAACACATTTGTTCTCCTGCTTTGTTTTCTTTTTTATTTATTTATTTAGTTATCTCTCAGAGCTCAGAGCCATGGTGAGAATCTGTGGTTTTCCTCCATCTCTTTCATTGTCTCTCGTGTTCTTTCCTTCTCCTTTTTTCATCTTTTCTCTCCACCAACTGTGCCTAAAATCACATTTATTTGCCTTCAGTTACGCAATGGTAGCTGGCATAATAACAAGCTGGCAGGAAACATCATGTCAACTTGAGGGTTTTTATCTATGACAACTGCTGAGTAACTGGAGCTCCTCCTGGACTGTAACCACCCCCCCACCCCCTCCCGTTAAACTTCCATCAGCGCCTCGTTAGGTGTTCCTCTACTTTTTGGGTTGCAGCAGAATCCTACCTGAACTTTGACCAGACATCTGTCATAACTGTGCATTTCCTCTTTCTCTCACCCTGACCGGCTTAATTTTGTGCATGAATTGATCCAGATAGCTGCGCTCTCAGGCTATTGACTCATATCTCTTTACCATTAACTATTCAGCAATGGCATTTATGTGAGGTTTTCTGCTTCTGTTACCACTGATGGGCCTCACAGTGACATTCACTGCATTGTTGTTCGTCAAAGGAAGTGCTTTTCCACGCTGACCCACTTCTCATCAGGTTCTCCTTTGATGTTGAATTAGTCCTTTACTTGTTATGGATCTCAAAGAGTTTTTACCCTCAAAGTCTGATAAATGCATCTCATAGACATGCTTCAATATAGATAACCTAATAAACACACTTAAGATAAATGGTACAGTAGGAAACGTAATACTGGATGACTTACTGCAGAAGTCTGTTTACACTGCTGATTTGTGTTGGATGGATGTAGTTCTCACAGTGTGTGAACCATTATGTTCAGCACAGTTTTAATAAGGGAAATGGAGTGTTGGCTGTGATTTGATTTGTGACAGTTGGGCTGCTGGAACCATTAAGGTGAACAGGCTTATTGTAATGGGCTTAGAGAAGCCCTGTCTGCCCCGTGGGTGAGCCGTTAACTCGTTCTGGGCCGCAAAAATCTGAATGGCCAAACTGTTCGGGCTTTGAATGTGACATGTGGCAAAATCCAAACTTTTATCACGCACAGTATTTAGTACAGTTATGTGCAGTGGCTTGTAAGAACCAGAGCCACTGTGTGGGTGACTCAATAGGGAGAGTGAAAAAAGTCTCTCTTAAGTAGAACATTGTGCTAGCTGAAGCTACTGGACAAATCACAGTGGCTTTAAAACATAGAAATCCAACACAGGCCATCAGTTCAGGGTCTCTTTTGTTATTGAATAGTGATTAGAGGCAGAGTTGTATCGGTCTGTGATATCAGCATTGAGCTGCTCTGTATAGCCTCTATATTTAAGTGACAGTGCTGTTGTTGTGAATGGTTGTCTCTCCTGCCGCCTAAAAATGCTCCTTTGTCGAACAGTAAAGCTCTGACGGTCTCTTAATCTGGGCAGCCGGTATCAGAAGCCTACCAGACTCTGTCTTGCCCTCTGTTCCATCTCTGCTCCTTTATTGTAATGAGTATTCCAGTGTGTGTTTTAGCTAACCGGATTTGCCCTTTGTATTTACCCTACTTTCACCCCCTCCCCTTGACCAGCTTTAGTAAGATGCGCTGAACAGTGGGGGAGATGGTCAAGAATTGTGCAGCCTTTTCTCTTTCATAGCCTTCACTGTACCTTGTCTGCGGTTTTTCTTTACTTTGTACTCCAGAAAACACACTTTAGAGACCCCGAACTATACGTTCCCTGCATGCAGAGGCTTGTGACAAAATACTATTCATTATATTAGAGAAAGGAATGGCATAAATAACAATGTTATCTATGTTTCTTTAAGTCAGTGCATTTAAATCTAATTGTGTTTGCTTTTTGATCGTATTTTACACTTTATTCAATATTACAAGTGGAGAGAGACAAAATAAATGTGAGGAAAGAGAGTCAGTATGCATGAAAGTCTAGTCTGCCAGATATTGAACCAGGGAGTCAGCGCTGACCGAATTTATGCCCATGTGGTCTGTGGCTAACCAAACAACTGCCAGTTGGCCCTATGAAAGATCTCTTTCTTTGCAACTAGGCAAAAAAATTAAGAAAATTTGATTTCATCTCTAAATATTTTTGTCACAAAACTCCACATATTTTAAGTTTTTTTTTTCTTAATTTATTTCGATCATGTAAACAATATTCAAAGTTTATTTAGCAAAGAAAAGAAGAGAAAAAAATGCTATACATATTAAAGCTAATGCATTTCAATATTGCTTCAACTGTTACAGATCAAAAAAACTAGTGGGAGGAAGTACACATTTATTTAATCCCACCAGTTTAAGATGTTATAAAACACAGAAAGATCTCCTGATCATGTATTAATGGAATTATTTAACATTTAATTTGATCAATAGACCAGTGAAACTAACAAAACAATGTTTTAAACTTAAAGATAAAAGGTAAAAAAGGGAAAGTTGCCAACAAAATAGTAACATTTTAAAAATCTTTAGCAAAGCTTAAAGACTAATCAACAAAATTATAAAAGTGTAATAAAACTGCAACAATTAAAAACCAATAAGAGCAATGGTTAGGAGGTAATTAAGAGCAACACAAACGATGAGGCACCTTAAGCAAAAGCAACACCAGAAACATACGTTTCTTTTAAAAAAGTAGAATATCTCGGATGCTGAGACTGATTGTGTCACAGCTTGGAATCACAGCTGCTTTGGACTGATCGAGTTTTCTACTCATCTCAGGCAATTGTTTGTCATGAAGTCTAGTTATCACCTGCAAATGATGCTTGAAGACATTAATAGTAACTTCTTTTTCCTCTCAGCTTCACCTTGTGCTCAGGAAGACCTTCATCCCTCCTGAACCTCTTTCCTCTCTTCCATTCTTCACATCCTGGTTATTCTGACCCCTCTTTCTTGCCTCCTATAGGGTGGAGGAGGGGACTGGTGGCAGCAGAAAATGGCTACTATGACTACGGTACCCAGCTATAACCCTTCGCTGTGGGTGAGAATATGTCACGCCCTGCCCCGGCTGGACTTCTCCATGCAGATGAGGGACAACGTCTTTGTCCCTGTCAGCTGGGAGTACCAGCAGGTAACCGACACCTGCCACTCGTGCCACACTGTAACCACATGCTGTGCTGTGGCTGTCCAGCCTGAGGTGCCAGATCGCATAATAATTACAGCCCTGTTACTCAATTTGCAGTTGCAGATACAATTGATATTTTACTACAACTTGTGGCACATTGGGCTATAAATTGTTCCACAAATTTCTACATGTCAGAGCAACCTGTAGCAATATGATAATGGCATTTACAGGCCTTTAAAAGCATAATTATTGGTGCAGTATGTCAGATCTTGTCATTCCTCATTTCTATACCTTGATTTTGATGCTTTAATCCTCCTTTTGAACCATACCGATTGGAGCTATTTTATGCAATTTGGTATCAGGTAGTGCAAGATATTCAACATGGCGGGAACCCGCTGGAAGGTTTCCACAGCTGCTATTGTGCTCATGGTCCTGTTTGTGCTGTAAAATGCAAGGTTCATCCCTCTCTTCCAGCAAGCGCTCATGCAAGCGCTCCAGCTAGCCATGTCTCACAGTGTTTGTGACTTCTCTGCGGTACAAAGAGGAGGTGGAGGGGGGGACTCAAATTATCCTGCAGAACAGAAAGACAAAAGAAACTGAAAGTGCTCAGAGAGAGGGAATGAGTAATGCAAGGAGGTTTTCCGAATAGAAAGCCGGGCAGAGAGAGAGACAGAGAGACAGAGAGAGGGAAGGCAAAGTGAGTGAGTGAGAGTGGGAACGAGAGAGACTGGCAGTGAATGTATTTAAGTAGGTCACAGATTATTAATAGAGATTCAGTGGTGTGGATAGAAAGAAAGAGAGGGGGGAGAGAAAGAGAGTGGGAACGAGTGAGAACGTGGGGAAAGAGGGATTGGGGGAGTGGAGCGAAGGGGACGGGCTTCAGAGGACATGAGGTGAGAATGGAGGGAAGGTGGAGGAATGGGGCAGATGGATGGAGGATAATACTGTAGATATGTGGCTGATATGTGGCTTCAGCTGTGTTGATTTCATGACGTGAAGTCTGATGAAAAGCAAAAGGCTGAAATGGCTCAGTGACATTAGAATCCAGCAGGGTGCACAGACTGATGGGCATTCAGGGGTAAAAATCTTTGAAACAAGTTACATTAATCCTGTGGGGTATGCATTATATGTGTCTGTATCCTTGATTTATATCCTCACACCTTTTTTATAACCATCTCCTGCTGTTAGTGGAGGCAGGACAATCTGACAAGCACTGAAATTTAACAGGATTAGTCAGTATTCTTGTAAAAATGGAATCAAAGTGCCATTTTTCTTTTCTTTTTTTTATATTCACTGACTCATCCTCTGATATTTTCCCCCTCCTCTTCCTTTTTTCAGACTTTGCTGGTTTTGTCCAGTTTATCAGCCATCGCTCTTGTTATCTCCCTATTGGTGGTTCTCTCCTTCCTCATACACTACTGCTGCTGTCACCGTGGTGACCGGAACGAAGGATCAGAAGAAGAGGAGGAGGATGAGGATGGCAGCACGGGTCACGGTTACAGTGGGAAGAAGGGGCGGGGAATCTGCTGTGTCACGTGGGTGGCGGTGGCGGCTGTCACGCTCTGCTGGTGAGAAAGAGTTTTTAGACGTCACTGTACTTCCTGGCAAATGTACACACGGCGCCTTTTGGCAGTAGTTGAAGAAGTATTCAGATGTTTTTCTCAAACAGAACCAATCACACTCATTTCTGGCTCATTATTTTTTATCTATAGACTCCTCTAGAGTCAGTTTGCATCATTCACAGCTCAAACCAATATCTATCAAAAACTGGGCCTTGGTGCAGCCCTCCAGTTCATCCTCTCATTGAAAAAGTAATTTTATCTCAGGGCACCTTCCCTTTAGCTCTTTACCTCCTGAATGCTTCAGAGTAACCCTTGAAGCTCTTTTCGAACTAAACAGTTTCTGTCAGAGTGAGGGTGGTCTCTGCCTTTGCAGCTACCTTTGAAAAACCCAGAAACTATTTTAATGGATATCAAACCACATCTTTATTGATATGGGTTAGTCATCATCCATGCACCTGTCTGCCTATCCCTCTTCTTTCATCTATACCCATCCATCCATCCATCCATCCATCCATCCATCCAATATTTAATTTACATTAAATAATTGCACAGAGCCAAGTTGCATACCTACATAGTCATTCATTCATTTTTGATGCATCATAATTTTTCATTAACTACATTTTAGAGAGAAATAATTCACAACAGTTAACTCTACTTTTTAATTATAATTGGAGATAAAAACACATAACTGCTTTGTACGTTTCATCGATACGTTTATGGAGTCTAAAACATGTTTTTCAACCATCTAAAAATACAGCAGGATGGAAATTATACTTGAAGTTAAATCTGTGTTGACAGTATATAGATCAGCACACTTGGGTCAAACCAGAATTAATCTGTAATATTTCTTTTGGTTTTTAAACCATAATGTTTTAACCATCATGAACCCAAAGCTTTTTAAGACTAAAGAATGCAAAAAACAATTTCACAGCTATTTAATTATAAACACACACTAGGATATCCTATCAGCCACTCCAACAGTAAACCACTCAATGATTCATTGTCTATTTAACTGTGAATTTGACCATAATTTGTAATCATGCTCTATTAAAGAAGACTTGAAAATATCAATTGAGACCATAAAGTTGTCAGGAAAGTTCCTGAGGTGTTAAATTAATTTAGAATTAGGGTAATATTCTCACAGTCTTAAATAATATTGGGCTGCCGCCACGTAGATCGCCTCCTGCAGGCCATCAGAAACAATGCAGATTTATAGTGCTTGTGCATTGGCCTCAATTTTTAGGGAAAACATCCACTTCTATGCAGTATATCAAATTGCCTTAAATATGATAAAATAAACTAGAAAACTGCAATGAAGCTCCCCGTGGAATTAAACTTATTGTATTAAATGTACTTTGCTTTCCAACAGCAGTGAAGCTGTGAATCACAAGCTGTCACCTCCATCATCTCCATCGTCATGTGTTCTTTCCGTCTCTCACTCAGTCACTGATGTGTTTATAATAAAGACTGGCCCAGACAGCAGCTGACAGTCATGTGACGTTGCTGTTTCCCAACCACAGGGCAACAATTGCACTGTTAGCTGTGTGTGTTTTGGCATTAAAGTGTGTTTGTGGATGATCTCAGCTCTCCCACCTACGGTACAGCAGTCATTTACCCACCGGTGTTCCCTGCAGCTCCGGTGACCATGCAGTCATCAAGTCAGTACATTGTGTTCACTGTATATTGCACAAAATTGCTGCCTGACATCTGTCCAAAGCACTGCAGTTTAACGGAAGTGTGAGTCACTCAGAGTAAGCTCTGCTCCCCATCAGACATTTTAAGTCTGAAGCTCCATCCCAGCTGCATAAGAAAATTATAGTGCCATTTAAAGCTTCAGCAGCACTTGTTATTATATTCCAGTCCATTGCCTGCCTAGTTATATACACTGAGACTACATCACAGGAAATAATGTGCTGCCGATTTGATTTCAGCTGCTTTAATGATTTCAGCACATGCAGACTGTAGGTGTTTGAGTTGGTTCGTGTCTCCGCCTTATGGAGCATAATGTGATGTCATAGTCATCGTCTCCTCTGATGCTCAATAAGGCTCTCTGTGCTGGACTGAATGAAGAAATTGTGCTGCGGTTTACTGTTAACAAATATTTATTGTCCTCCTGTTTTCTCCAGATGGTAACCTTTAGCCTCCAGTATGAAACAAGCGTGTGTCATTTTTAAAATGCAGCTGCATTAGACAGCATTTAGGTTTGACAGTTTGAAATGCAAAGCACACACAGACACAGGCGCACATTCCTTCCCCCCCCCCCCTTCGCTTTCTAATCTGGGTCACATACTTTGTGGGAGATTGGGTCATACCATTCCTCTTGGGTTTGAGGGGATTTGATGAACATCTGGCCTGGGCCTTAATCTGAATATTTGAATAACAGAGAAATGTGTAAACACGTCGCTATGTTTTACATTTTGAATATTTTCCTTGCCGATGCTATGAGTCATCTTTTTTCTCCCATCAACTGTTTATTCCATCTCCTGCTCACCACTGATGGTATGCTCACCCAGAGCACACATATGACATCCTCACCAGCTCTATCTCCTCCTGTCACATTCATTTAAAATGTACATCCACGCTGAATTAAACATTACATTTATGCCTCTGCTATCTGTTCTCCTGTCCCCCTCTTTCTCTCTCCCTGTCACCCTCCCACAATGTTTTCATGTTTCCCCCCCCCCCCCCCTCTCCCTCTCTCACGCAGTGTTGCCATAGGCATCGGTTTCTATGGCAACAGTGAGGCTAATGATGGGATGTATCAGTTGACCTCGTCTCTTCTCACAGCCAATTATACGCTAGCTTCCATCGATCTGCTGGTGAGTGGTGCTCTCTGCAAGTAAAATGTCATGCAAAGTATCTACCCTGTATGACTGTGTGTGTGAGAGGGAGAGAGACAGAGTGTGAGAGAGAGGAAGACAGATGGGCTGAATTTGTTCATCGGGTCTGCAGAGAGGGAAAGAAAATCAGATACAAACTTCTGCTTCATTGATCTCTGTGGTCAGACAGTGGTTTATGTGTCAAACTACTAAATGGCACAGGCCAGCAAATCTGTGCATATTACACATGAATTAGAGAAGATATACTCTATTCATTGTAAATGTTGGCTCAATTGAAAGCCTATAACAAAATTACTTTAATAAGTACATTAAATTGCATTTTATAGTTCAATACAACACAGCATGGCTAACTGCATAAAAGAAAGAAACTCAACAAAGCTGAAAAAATAACGTCAATTGAAACAAGGAGTTAAATACTTAAATAAACTATTACATTAAAAAAAAGCAATCCATTTAAACGAATAGTGTAGTGCACAGTGCAATAACGTGGTGTGAGAGTGCAGATTTATGTTTACATGAGAGAACAGATTACTCTCTGTAAAGCAGATTTGCTGCATTGCATGAGAAATACCACTGCATGATGCAAAGAATATACATGAAGAGTTACATCAGCTCTTAAACTAACACCTGAGAAACTGTAGGAAGATATGGAAAAAATATACATACAATATGTGGTACAAAAAATGAGACAATCGACCACACTTCTAATAATTACACACTTGAAATTGTTTAGAGAAGTAGTGAAGAAACTTAAGAGAAAGATACTTTATTCAATCTACTCCTAACCTTCAACGAATTATTCTTTATAAGCAGTGTTTCTAGTGATGATTGATATGATCAGTGGAATAATATTTGGCCATATTTTACTACTGAAAAAAAGAAACCCTGAATTGAACCTCAAAATTAAAACGTTTTGCAAAAGTGAAGCGAAGTTTCAAGGCTTACAAAATCTGTTGATTTTGGTTAAAAAATAAAATTAAGATAATTAAGAAATAAAACTGAGTTTTCCTCAAATTGGAGAATTCAGGTTTGTTTCCCAAATTACCTCCAGGCTCAGAATCACTGCATGATCAGAGAAACTACAACACCCCCAAAGAGCTATATCTCAGACTCTACAGGCATCAGATAGCATGTTAAATGTTGAAGTTGGTGGTAGTACAATTAGAAAAAGACTGCACAGGTGTGGCTTGTTTGGAGGGTTGCAGGAGAAAGTCTTTTCATGAGGTTAGGTTTGCAAAGTTGAATCTCAACAAACCACAAGACTCATGGAACAATGTCCTTTGGATGAGACCAAAGTGGGGATGTTAGAGAATACAAAGTAATTGATTCAATAATTAATTAAAAAATAAATCAAATTTCTGCAGTAACTTTAAAAACTCTTTTTTGCGAATCACTAATCGTTTTACATGACAGCTTTCCTCCACCACTAGAAACATAATGCAAACTATTCCTACAGTTGCCTCAACCTTTGCACAAAGACTTTTAGGGATAAACTATGTTGATGTGATGTTTCATTCTTTATTAGGGCAGTACTGTACTGCAGGAAGTAGTGCTTTTGTAAAGTAAGGCTGGGGCATCAGTTCACCCTACAGCAAGATGACGTCCCAAAAACATTAGGTAAGGATAAGGATGATGAAAGAGCAGCACGGTCTCCAAATTAAACTCCAACTTCTACAGCGTATCACTGCTAACGGGATGAAAACCACAACCGTCCCGAAAAGACCTTAAAATATGGAGACAGAGACATAAAGATAGCAAACACATGTGAGAAGTAGTGATGTATTCAGAAGTTTGATAAGTGTAAATTTGCATTATAGACTATGAGAGCCATTCTGAGGCGCCGAGGATGTCCAACATCTTTAGCTCTGTTTCCTACACCAGGATTTTATGACCCTATGAGCATCATCAAGCTCACTTTGTGGTTTCAGTCCTACTTTGCTCCCCTCACATTCCTCCTTCCTCCCTCAAGATTTCAGACACAATTACTGGACTTCAGCTGTCTATCTCTGGACCACTGGCCTCGATGGAGGAGTTATTTACTGGCAGCAAACCCTTCCTGGTTTCGACGCGGAACTGCCGGAGGTTATCTGAGAACGTCATCAACCTCCTCTCCTCCATCTCCCTGGCTCGGTCCAGCATTGACACTGGGCTGGGGAATGACAGCGGTATCAGCGGGGCGTCCATCACGCCTCTGACCCCGGTACCGCCCTCTGTGGCGCCTACAGTGGTGCCTAACAGCGGCTTAATGGCCAGCCCCTTCTCACCTGGCTGGGCGGCCAACACACTGATGGTCAATGAGGACTACAGGTAAGGCTGGACAGTTCAGGATGATATAAATTAATAATACAGTTTATCAGTTTGAATGACTGATCTATTATTCATGCAGCATTTTCACGGGGTGAAAAGAAGCAGTTCTTACACCAGTTCAAATACCAAACTAGTGCTTTTACAGCCTGAGATAATGTGACAATGTGAGCTTTTGTTTTGTTTTTACTTGTTTATGAGAGAATTATTTGTTACAGTTAGAAAAGCCCATGAGATTTATACCCAGTGCTTTAAAAATAGAAATTAACAGCTACCTTTCAAGTTACCTTGTCAGGGTCGGAAGGTGTTTATGTATTTCTGCAAAAACCTCTTTGCCTTACAAACTTCCACATGTACAAGCTGTCTGCAAACACAGCCACACTCTTATTCCTACGATGCTGTGAGAGGCTGCCAGACGTCCTGCCCCAGCCCCTCATAAATGTTGCATGTTTATTAAGATGTGCTTGTTGATGTAATGCCATTTCCCCCCCAGTTATGTTATGTTGACGGGCTGCTTTTATATTCCATATTGGAAACATTTCAGTTGATAAATAAAAGCTAACAAGTATATCCTAGCTTAGATAAATAACGTCAGTCAAGTAATAATAATGTCCTCATAAACAAAGCAGATTGTTCCCTTGTTGCAGGGAGAGGGGAAGGAAAGTTCGAGCTCCTCCTGACTCATTTTACACAGGCAGCAGTTTTGATTCTGGGAACAATTGCTGGTGACTGAATGTTTATCCAAGATCAGGCGGAAGAATCAAAATGTGATCAGATCTGCCCGTTGGTGATTTGGGGAAAAGACACATACATTGGTTAAATTATTATATTTATTTTTCGAAGAGCATTTTTCTTTCGCCCTCAAAAATTGGTCAAATAAAAGTGAAAATCACTTTTATTTATTTCTTGATCATCTTATAATTCATGTCCCCAGTAAAACCAGGACTTTTAAATTAAAAACTAGATATTAAATGCAACTAGCTCCATCGCAAGTAAACAAGTTCATAAAGCATAATTACTTTACCAGGAAGATAAAAAAACATTTCCACATGGTTTTTTTCTAGTTGTAAACACTATTGTAAACACTGCTGCCGCATTTATCCCCCCATTGTTGAGGCAAAATCATCATGGCCAGAAGATTCAAAATCCATAAAAACATTGCAATTGCTACTAAAAAAAACCTAAGAAAACAGAAATTTGCTTTCAGAAACTGTGGGATTAATGGGCACAACATAGCAGTTGTGCTATGATAGTAAGATGTGATGTTTTCTATTAAGTAGCTTGTATGCAAGTATGGATTGATGATAAATGGTGATGGATATGTACAGACATGTAGAAAGGTATATAGATGGATAGAAAATAGATGGGTGGATCATGGGTAGATAGGTAGGGTGTGAATCTATGGATGGATGGATGGAAAGATGATAGATTGATATATAAATAGACAGATGTAGGTACATGAATGTATAAATGGGTAGATATGGGTGGATGGATAGATGGATAGCCCATATTAGAAAAATGTTGATTGGACTTTAAGTAAAATTTTGGTCAAGTTGCTGTTAAGCAAGGATTGATATTGTAATTAACACACAGTAATATGTGTGTGTGTTGTAGGTGGCTGTCTTATGTGTTGCTGCTGCTCCTTGACCTCATAGTTTGTCTGTTCATCCTGCTGGGACTCGCCAAACAAGCCCGTTGGCTGCTCATCCTGTGAGTACACACACATTTGTATCTTTAGACACATACCACACAAAAACTGGATTGATGGCAATGGGTGTCCTCTTGGTTGAAGAGTTTCTGTCCCCCCCCCCCCCCCATCCACAGGATGACAGTGCTGGCTTGGCTGGCCCTCTTCCTAAGCTGGGGCTCCCTGGGTTTGGAGACAGCCACTGTGGTGGTGAGTAGACTCAGTAAAACTGCGATACAGGCTGGCTATAGCGGAGAGAAGAGAGCTTTAGGAGGTCGACCCCTGATGGCAAGCCAAAGTAATGTGCATATATGTGCTTATGTGTGAATTCTGTGCCTATTGTGCTAAACTGTGAAAAGACCTGCCTCCTAGGGAACGCTGCAGTCATTGCAGAGGACCAAGGAGGCAGGAAAATGGGGCAGAGATTAAAGATTCAATGTGCGTGTGCACGAGTGCGTTTGCGAACAAAGTGTGTTTATGCAGCAAAGTGCGTGTTTTACATGCAAGTGTGTTTGCAAGTGTGTGGGTTGTTGGCTTCAAGAAGTAAAGATAGAGAAGTGCTTTCAACAAGAGTGAGGAGGGGAGAGGAGGAGCAGGAGAGTGCATCTTGAGATCACTTTTAGAGCGAGAGCAAGCCGAAGTAAGTGATAGAGAGAGACAGAGAGTGGGGAAACCGTCAACTTGCGAAGGCATTTGGCTCCACAAGTCTTTACAGTGAGCATACAAAAAAATTTGTACTGTAAAATAAAGTTTTAAATGGACAGTGTTTGCCTGAAGGTCTACTTTCCACTTGTATAGAAAATGCGTCAATGTGCTATTTGTTATCATCAGCAGTCGAGCCACAGTTTTAGATGGTGACATTTACCAGCAACAAAGAGCATAAAGAGCATTTTTATGTCCAAAACAGAGGGCTGTCCATATGAACTATTTCTCTTTTAAAAGCGCCCATTCTCTTTAAAGAGGAGACTTTGTTGGTGTGCGTGTGAAAAAAGAGTAAAGGGTGGGTGTTTTTCTGCATGGCTGCTCAGTTTAAGAGTCTCAGTGTCATGTGGGGCTGCCGGGAGATGTCCCAAGGCCTGTGGGTCCACACAGGGCTGCTCTGTCCCTGGTCACTGACAGGGAAACAATAGGCCAGCTGTGGGCCTCTCAACCTTATTCTGGCCAACGTCGTCGCTTTCTCATTCCGTCAGCAGACTCCCTGTGTGGCTCTTGCACCCTCTTCTGGTCGGGCAATCTCAGGCTGAGAGAGTTTGTGGGAGTACACTCTCTGAACCGAAGTGCGCCAACCTCAAAAACACAGATGATATTAAAAAAGAAGCTAAATGAAAGAGTGATCTAACAGCAGAATAGGAGAGCGTGGGAGGAGGAGGGGGGTGTCGATATTTGCTGCTGTGTTGTCCGATGCTGTCAGTTATCTGTAGAGACAAGTATGTCAGTTGGTCACTGTGTCTACAAATGTTTTCCTATCTGATCATTTCTCTTCCACCTCACCTCTTCCTCACTCTCGCTATCCTCCTGTCATCCTGTCTCACTCTCCCCGTCACTCTCGCCAGGCTCTCAGTGACTTCTGCTCAGATCCAAACGCGTTTGTCCTTAACTCCACCCACTTCAACAGTGGGACCAGCTCAGGTACAGATTCCCTCTCTGAGCAACACTTTCTGGAAAATCTAGTTGTTTTCCATGCCTGCCATGCACTTGATTTACCCCCTGCCCCAAATGTGCTTTTGCTAGCAGAATCCAATATAATGACAGATGACTGTTTCCACATTTTTTCCTATTGTGCATTGATCTTTTGTACACTGCTGTTTTGTTGGCCACCCAGACGTGTTGGATTATTACCTGACCTGCAACAGGCGCATGAACAGTCCATTCCAGCAGGTAATGCCACCTCTGCCAGTCAGCGTATTACATTTGCAGGCATTTGCTGATTCTCTTACCCAGAGTGATTCAAAGGGAGTGAGCAGATAGTATGTCAAAGTTTCTGAAGGGCAGTTGGAGGGGAAAAATAAAACTGAGGACAGGATGCACAGCTGTTGCTACGTGTCCTGTCCTTAAATTATTTAGTCCCTTGACAAGTAGCTACACTCTCAGCACATTAATGTTATGTTTGAGAAACAATGCCAAATAAAACCTCTGATTTCCACTGACTATATTGACTTGTTGGCTTTAGCTGCTGACCCAGTCACAGAGGGCACTCTCAAACATTCACACACATCTCTCCAGTCTGGACAGAAATGCTCTCACACAGTTCCCCAAAGCTGAGGTATGTGCACTACTTACTTTTATGAAATACTACATTTTCTGCACGTGGACCGCCTCCTCGGTGGTTTTCTCACATTCTGGAATTTCTATGTCGTTGCAGAAATCACTCAGGGATGTTCAACAGATACTCAACTCAACAGAGGGCAACTTTCATCAGCTGGTGGCACTACTGAACTGCCGGGGTCTGAATAAGGTGATCAGAAGAACTCGGCACTGCTCGCTACTGTGCTGCTCTGTTCTCATTTATTCATTTCTGTATTTTTCTGCCATTTTATTTTAGGACTACATTGACTCACTGAAAGGCCTGTGCTATGATGGGATGGAGGGATTGCTCTACCTCTCCCTTTACTCTTTTCTCTCTGCTCTGGCCTTCACTGCCATCCTCTGCTCTCTACCTGGTGCCTGGAGGAGCTTCCCCAGGTGAGAAAAAAAATCAGTAAAGCGCACGTCTCCAGTGTAACACAATAGAAATGTGGGGTATAAATACTGACACTGAGAGCACAAGTAAAAGTAGGACATTGTTGTTATGTCTTTAAGAACTGGTCTTTAGTAGAAGTTATTTACATTTGTCTGATTCACAGTGTTGTCATTCAGTTTTGCCTATTTTGCCTAGTAATGCATTTCCTCTAGAAGTGTTTCTCTGTAGCAGATATTGCTGTTTAATATTTGAAGCATGAAACATCTTGCAGTTTATTCTCCTGCTAAATAAAACCTGATTTTTATTTATTTACTTTTGTGCAGATAGGTTCAGTTTAGTATTTTTGTGCTTAGCAAGCCTACAGGAGCAGGGGTGGGTGGATGGTGGAAGTGGTAGCTGGTTTTCTCTGAATACATGAAATCCATTTGGAGCATTACCTATTACAATTCCATTCAGTTCAGTTTTATTTATATAGCACCGAATCACAGCATCAGTTGCCTCGAGGTGCTTTATAATGTAAGGTAAAGAACAATGATACAGAGAAAACCCCAGCAGTCACACAACCCCCTGCTAGAAAGGACTTGGCGACAGTGGGAAGGAAAAACTCCCTTTTAAGAACCATCTGTCATGACCAGTTACAGTGTAACAAACGGGTTCTTAAAAGTAGACAGGGTCTGTCTCCTGAATCCCAACTGGGAGCTGGTTCCACAGAACAGGGGTCTGAAAGCTGAAGGCTCTGCCTCCCATTGAACTTTTAAATGCTCCAGGAACCACAAGTAAACCTGCAAGCTGAGAGCGAAGTGCTCTAATAGAGTGACACGGTACTATGAAGTCTTTAAGATGAGATGGGGCCTGATTATTCAAGATCTTGTATGTGAGAGAAATATTTTAAATTCCTTTCTAGATTTAACAGAGAGTCAATGAGGAGAAGCCAATATGGGAGAAATATGCTCTCTCTTTCTAGTCCCTGTCAGTACTGTCGCTGCAGCATTTTTGGATCAACTAAAGGCTTTTCAGGGAGTTTGTAGGACATCCTGCTAATAACGAATCACAGTAAATGGTAAATGGCCTGTATTTATATAGCGCTTTACTAGTCCCTAAGGACCCCAAAGCGCTTTACATATCCAGTCATCCACCCATTCACGCACACATTCACACACTGGTGATGGCAAGCTACATTGTAGCCACAGCCACCCTGGGGCGCACTGACAGAGGCGAGGCTGCCGGACACTGGCGCCACCGGGCCCTCTGACCACCACCAGTAGGCAACGGGTGAAGTGTCTTGCCCAAGGACACAACGACCGAGACTGTCCAAGCCAGGGCTCGAACCAGCAACCTTCCGATTACAAGGCGAACTCCCAACTCTTGAGCCACGATCGCCCCTTCTAGGCTGGACAGTAGTCCAGCCTAGAAGACATAAATGCTTCTAAAGTTCTTCAGGATCGCAAGATGAGAGAATTAGATGTCTTTTTAAATTCAAAACAGAATCCAGTAGCTTGGTATCGTCATATTTTTGCTCTTTTTCTCTCTTTCATGGTCGCCGACAGTGAATCAGAGGAGTACGAAGACTCAGACAGCGAGAGTGAGGACCCCTTCACTTCCCATCAGGCACGTAGACAGACGTCCTCGGGGTCTCAGCGAGGGGCCATGGCCCCCTTCTATAATTACCCAGGGGCAGGGTGGACACCCCCCTTTTCTAGCGCGCCGCCCCTCCCGTGAGTAACACAGACACACAGACACACAGACAGACAGACAGAGAGAACGCACGCACACACACACACACACACACACCCTAAAATTATTAGTTTTTTAAATACAAGAGGAGGAAGTTGCTGAAACAGATGTTTCTGTTTCAACATCTGGATCCATGAAAAGCTTTTTACACTGGTGTCTCCCCCCGAGCCCCAGACTGTAAAAGTCCAAGAAAATATAAAACAAAAGAGTAAATTCAGAGACTGGCGGAGCACTGTTTTTGTTTTTGTGCAGACACATAGTCTTTTTGCTGAAGTGTGAAATCTTTCAGAACATTATTACAGCACAGTTATAGCTATACTGATGAGTGCAGGACAGTCAGCCAGGTTCAAACTCTCCTGCCTTACACACATGCACACACAGGATTAGGCTGAATCCACAGAGCTGTCAGGTTAAGCACATGCATTGCAGACAGACACACAGACAGGTCATTATGGACTACAGCGTAGGCAGAGAAACAGACACAACTCCAGAGGTCTGTCTGTCTGTGTGTCTGTCTATTCGTCTGTCGAGTGTTTCGGGACAGACGACGTAGGCCACTCGGTCATTTCACAGATCTCGTCTCAAATGGCGTCCTGTCTCCTAAACAGCAGTGCGCTGCTGCTGTGTTGGGTGGGGGGCAGGGTGTCATTGACGAGGATGCGCTCGTAAAAACTCCGGCGGTGTGAGGCTCAGGTTGACTATAGGTAACCCCTCCCACACACACCCTCCTGCATCACTCTCATCTCTCACCTCATTGTGGTGTCCAAACCCCTCAGATTATTATCTCTCTCTCTCTGTCCTGCTCCTTTTTTTTCTTCATGATTCCTCCTGCTTCCCGATTAGTTCTCTCTATATGGAGGACCGAAGCAGCCATAATAAAATAAGCGTAAAGAAGTAAATAAACTACTCGGAAAATCAATGATTATACAATAGGAATATTTAAGAGAAATGTAGGCATGAACAAATGTATAAATGCAAGAGAAATTCACGTTTTTTAAAATTGGTTAAATAAATGAAAAGTACATAATAGAAATATGAACATCAATTTGTGTCGCATTTTGTAAATTAATCGGTGTCTACATTTCTTTTTCTTTTTTTTTTATATTTTTATACTCATATATTTACTTCCTTATTTATATTTGTTTTTGGCTGTTTCAGTCCTCTGCATACCTTCAATTTTCTCATCTTACTTTGTTTTGACCCCCCTCCCTTTACTCCTTTATGCAAAAATCAAAGTATAGTTAGTGCTACTAATTTTACTTACTATCCTAATGCAGTGGATCGTCTTGACTCCATATGTGATATTAACGCACAAATACAAAGATACATAGAAACTCAGAAACTCAGCTAAATACAGTCCACTCCTCTTAAATGGAAGCTCAGGACTGCTTTAAAAGCTTTCTGGGTTTTATTGTGCAGATAAACAAATTCATTAGCAAAGCAACATAACGGCTGAAATGCAGCTGGCGATTCATACCCAGTCCTAAATGCCTGTAATTGCAGATTATTGTGCAAATCCTGTTGTGCATCAGTCATCAGGAGTGGACTGTACAGCTGCTGCTGGTGCTCACAGTGTCCTGCCTGAGTGCCAGTAGTACTAATAGCTCTGCTGAGTGCTGTGTTGTCTGCACTATTTCTCTAATCGTTCTTTCTCCTTTTTTCCTTTTACCTGTCCGTGGGTCTCGTCATCCTGCGGTCCTCTCCCCACCCCCCTTCTGTCTGTCTCAATGTGTCTCACCCCTTCTTTCCCTCTCTTCTTTATCCTCTATTCGTCTTCTCCCGCTCTCTTCTGTCCTTGTCTCTTTCTATCTCTATACAGGACTCCAAACGTTTCCTCCAATGGCAACCCTGGCTATGAGAGCCTACCCTTGACTGACAGGCAGTCCCCACCCCCCTCTGTGAGTTCCTCTGTACCTGTGACACCATCGCACTCTGTGCCATTTTTTTCATTGCTGTTAGTGCTCACGCTCGCTTTGATAACGAGTAGCAAACGGACTGACGTGGTTCACTTTTACTTCAACAGTTTAAAACCTTTAAAAAGTGCAAAGCATATCAGGAAGAACATTTGTCCATTTTGACAACAAAAACTATCAACGCTGGGAAAGGAAATGAACTAAAACCAATTTACAAGTTTGTTCTGGTTATTTTAAAGCACATAGGAAGGTTTCAGGTTATGATACTGTCAGAGACACTGCATGACTTTAATAGCGTCTCCCCCTCATATGTGACCTCCTGAACACCTTTATCTGTCAAGGAAGACCAGGAGATGCAGATCAAGGTGCCACAAAAATCTACTAAGTGACCTTGATCACGACAAGTTAGTCATGCTCAGCAGTTTTACAATGTTTTAACAAGGTTTCAGCTTAAGTTATAGAGCGCACAGAGTACAGACTTGCAATCTCTACCATCATATAACCTTGCTCTAACAGGTGAACAGACTTTCAATTTTATGACAGTAAAAGTAATTCTTTGAAAATTCAAATCAGACTCCATCTTCCTGGCAAAAGCTGTAAGATAGGGTTGAAAGTCCAGGTGGCATGATACGGGCTTATTTTGCAGCTACTGGACCTGGACACCTTCCAAACACAGAGTCAACCATTGAACTCTGTGTAACAATGTACTCCAGAGTCAAATGTGAGGCCATCTGTCAGGCAGCTAAAGCTTGGCCCAAATTCTGTCATGCAACAGGACAATGATCCCAAGCACAGCAGCACATCTGAATGAACAGAAAAAAACGAAAGAATCTGGGTGGTGCATGGTCAAAATCCAGACCTAGGCCTGACTGAAATTATGTGGAGAAGAGTGGGGCAAAATGGCTCCATAATGATGTGAGGGAACAATAAAGTCATGCAGAAAGAGCTGTTAAAAGTGCTTCTACAAGCTGCTTTATTATTACTTGACTGACGTTTATCATGGTACTTGAACGCTTTCCTTTGTGCATGACTGTATGACTCGATTTCAACAAGTGAGCAAGCTTTCACTTTCATAATGACAGCTTGAGCAATTCTTTGATGTTTCGGCAGACTTCAGCTTCTGAGAAATGCTGTAAAATGCACCGGGAACAATGCCAGTCAAGATTTTGCTAAATAAAAAAGAACATATTTGGATTTATAGTCTAGTTTGCTTCTGAGGAAAGAATGAAGTAAAACAGCAACATTTACTTTAGACCATCAGTTTGAGGGCCAGCCAATCTGCCACACGTACCAGAGGACAAAATCAGCTGCCTAAAGGCTAAAAGAGCTGAAAATAAAACGGTGATGCTTTAAATGAGCGTAATAGGTGCCGTGTTCTGCTTTGGATGAGCCAATGTTCACATGAATGAATAACAAACGTCTTTTTTTTCTCTTTTGCTTTCTCTCCCTGAAACTTCGGACCATCTTGACCTCTCGTCTGTTGAACCCCGTCCTGTTCTCTGGAAGCGCAGTACTCTCCCAGCATGCTGACTGGTTACGGGGGAAGTCAATCACACCCCAACCCCGCCCATTCGAGGAACCTGTATTCACGTTGATTATTATTATTTTTTGTTAGGAAATGTATAGAAAAAAAAAAGTTTAGTTTTCTTATGAATGGACACTTTAATGAAATGAAAAAGAAACTAATCTAAATAAAATGAATGCTAGGTGTCAAAGTGCGTAACGTCAGTACCACTGAGTATTATCATTATTACTAGTATTATTATTATTAAAAGCAAAAGATACAACCGACAGTGATTCTGCTGCTTGGTTATGCTTTAAACCAAGTGTGCTTGGCCTAAATTCCTCCCTCCCTTTTGTCCAAACTGTGTAAACTGTGGTGAGCCAAGTCAGAATGGTATTGACGTTACTACGTTGTAGTTTTATATTCTTAAATGTATCTGTACCACCACTTTATTTTCGAGTTTTTATATAAATATTGTTGTAGAAAAGCACTGGCACGTAGCAACAAGACACATTTTTTTTCTGTGAATGGTTATGCAGTTCCTTCACTTGGTATGATTTGTTTTTTAAATTACTTTTTATAGGTGGCGATTCTGTATTTTCCTCGTATTACCTTATGGTACTCTGTATATCTCTCACTGTCTGTAATATCTGAATAATCATGAATCTTTGCTCTTTAAAAAAACAAACAAAAAAAATCAAAAAAACTTGAGGGCTGCCGTGACTCTGTTTTAATGACGGAACGGAGAACCGCCACTCAATCGCTGAGGGTGGAGAACTAGAAATCCCATGCCATGACAGCAGGTACATAGCAATATGATTCTTGCTACTGGTGCTGCAGTAGCCCTACCATAACTAGCAATAATAACTATGTATAGCGTTGGATTTCTGAGATCTCTCCAAGAAGTTTTTGTGTATATATGGTACCGGTGTGAGATTTCATCGAATCCCTCCCTCTCTGACCCCGTTAACCCTTGAATTGAGTTTGTATGGTTATCAATGCTCCTTTTGAATGGCATCCTTTTACACTCGAGAGTCTAATATAAATAAAAATAACTTCAATAACCCGACACTGGTCCTCATCTTCATGTCAACACAATGCCAAGAAAACACACACACACACACACAGACTTGTACTTAAAACAAAAGGTCAATGTTTAATATAAATTTAAATATTATTCACCTCTGAGCTTAGGTTTATGTGTAAGTTATTCACTAGTGTGTATCAGAGACAGCGCTCCTATTCTTTCAGATATGCATAGATCACTAGGGGAGACAAAACACAAGTGTAGCGCCTACATACAGTCATGTGTCCAGTGTTTTTGCATGTTTTCAAGATTAGTGAACTTAACACTGCTCTGTACCCCAAACCTGGATTCACTCGCTAACTCTTCGTGATATCAGCTACTTTACTCTTTGCATCATCTCCCTGGGTCCTGTGGCTTCCTCACAAAGTCCAACAACATTCATAGGGTTAAGTTATTTGACTCTAAATTTACTGTCAGTGTAAATGGTTGTGTTTCTCTGTCTTGGCCATGCAACATACTGGCAACATGACCAAGGTGTACCCTGCCTCTCACCCTGTGACAGTTGGGATTGGCTCCAGCCCCCCCGACCACCCTAACTACCCCAACCTTGAACTGGATAAACAGAAGAAAAATGGAAAGGCCTTCCCAAAACTTACTGAAAATTTATGGACTATGCTTAAACACCGTCTCTGTGCCTGATTTAAATTAACTCCATATCTGCCAGGATGAGTGGTCAACTATTCAGCCAGAAGCTTCCAAAAGAGTCTGGCTGAGGTGCAAAATGCCAGGAGAAATTTAACCAAATATTAGTGTGGGTGTATGCAGATATTTAACCCTGTGTGGTTTAGAGAAAATCCAGTTTCAAACCTGCACAGCCAATTCTTGTTTTTAAAAAAAAGTCATTAAAGACGTATGCTGTACAATCATTCCACCCTGGAAAAAAAATGTTTAAAGAAAGCATTAAAAGCCCCAAATTGTCATAACATTCGTGCCCACGAAGAGTGTGTGTAAACTTCTGATCACAACTGTGTAACTAGACTAAAAAGAACGCAAGAAGTCAAGTAAATGGATGAACACATGCAAAGACACTGGCGCAGTCTTCTGGTGCCTCTTTAAGGCGATGCATTCAAGGCTCCTGTGCCTGCATGAGTGCTAACAAAGACAAACAGTGCAAATAACTCAAACGCTGCAGTGCATAGAAGGTTAATAACAAGGGTGAAGGAAGAGATGGCGCTCCTTCACAATCAACGCATTCTGGCATAACCATAACGCATGAAGGACATAACAAACTGGATCTAAGACAACAGTATCCTAAGTGGCGAATTCATCCTGATAGCATTTTAAGTAATCAAATTTTTCCAGTTACCAAAAACACAGTAACATTTCACAATCAGGGCCCTGTTTCAGAAAGCCGGTTTAGTGCAAACTCTGAGTAAGTATACCCTGAGTTAACGAAAACGGCTATGTTTTGCCATGCATGCTCCCTTTCTTTTGCAGCTGAGGCTGTGTTACTTTTTTTCCGCGGAATTTGCATGTTATCGGCATATGCTGCCATCAGAATTTCAGCCTCAAGCGCTGTAAAATACATTGACCGTGCCTTCTTTCCCTCCGTCTCCATGGTGACTCGCTTAATCTGTGCTCCACTAATCAGGGCTTTATGTATCTTCGTGCGCGTGCTTAACTTGGGGTTAAAGCAACTCCGCGTTGACTGAACTAATTGTTATCAGCCTTTCTGAAACCGAATATTCCGAGTTGGACAGTTCGGGGTTACTCAACCCTGAGTATCGTTTTTCACTCTGAGTTTTCTAAACCGGCTTCCTGAAATAGGGCCCAGGTCACAACAAAAGTGTCATAAACTAGCACACGTTTGCCTCTAACCTGCAACTTTGTCAACTCAAAGAGTTAAAACAAAAAGTACAAGATTATAGTTGACGTTGCAGATAGATGGGTCATACCAGAGCAATGGTTTTCTTTTTTAAGCCGTTACAATCAAGCAGTTCTTCATTTCAGGATTAAATGCCCACCTATACTTCTCTTTGGAATTTGTATGTTTGTGTAGATATTAAATGTATTTTAGTGCATTCCCTGAAGATATTTTTTAACGAGGTGTTTGCTTCTCTCTTTCAAAATGTCTGTCATTTCCCCAGAGGAGGGTTTCCCCCCCCACACGCTTTGCAAAGTTATATTCTGTCCCAAGGCATCACTTCTTGCTGTCAGCGTTCAGCCACGAGCCGTCCTCCTCCACCTCCCGTCGGACAACGAGCAGCATCTCTGCCACGTCCTGAGAAAGCTGTTCAGTGAGAAATGTGCTGAAACAGAAGCGAAGAGAGAGAAGGTTAGAAGAACAGACAGTGGGGATTTTAATAGAGCACAGTGTCCTAACACAAAACAAACAATGAGCTAACCCCCACTCCCATGTGACCAGTCACATGGTATGACTCACTCAATGAGTTCAAACAGCACACCAAAGCCAAGTTTAGATCGAAGTCAGAGCAGAATCACTCACACAGAGATTACATCTCTGCTCCTGAGAGTCCGGGAAACATTGGACGTATACGTGCGCAATTCTTACCGCAGCTCTGCTTCTCCGCCGATGCAGACCGGACTCTTCAGCTTAGAGTCCAGGTTGTAGTACTGTCCGCTAACTTGCCGAACTGCGAGCCAATGCCGCCGCCGGAGCGGGAGGGACACAATCCCCAAAGATACTCGTGATGGGACATTCAGAATAAAGCCTTGGACCTTTGACATACAGAGGTTCTCAACTTCCCTGCAGTTTGAAAGAGGGGAGAAAGAAATCACTAAATCAGCCACTTTGAGATAGTCTTACTTAACCAGTTATTACGCGCAGTGCATCTCAGGGCATTTTTCATTATGAATGACCTCGACCCGGATAGCCTACTTCTGCAGCACTTACTGAGTCTGTAAATCTATCAAAGCACAAAATTCATTTTCACATGTAGCTGCGGTTTGGTAAGACTGCCAATATGCTTTTTATGTGTAATCCAACAACGCCTCAGGGTTACATCACAAGTGGTTTAAAATTAAGATGTTGTTTTAAGGGAAAAAAAAAAACAAAACACCATCTGTGTCTGAAAATAGTCTCAAGAATTCCCTTTTATTACAACAGCCTGGCACTAAGAGCTGATCTCAATATTCTGGATCCCCTTGCAGTATACAGTCCCAGCCACTTTATTAGGTACACCTTGCTAAAACTAGGTTGGTTGGTTGTAATCTCAGTTCCCTGTGTGGCCCCCGGTCTAGTCTTCTGATACTGTATCCCATCTGCTTCAAGGTTTGACATGTTGCACATTCAGAAATGGTGTTCTGCCCTGGAGATGGTTTCTTGGGAAAATCCCAGAAGATCAGCAGTTTCGGAAATACACAGACCCATCCATCTGGCACCAACAACCGTGCTACGTTCAAAATCACTTTAAATCATCTTTCTTCCCCATTCTGATGCCCAGTTTAAACTTTAGCAGGTCATCCTGACTGTGTTTTGATGGCTAAATTCCTAAACGAAATGAGTTGCTTCCATGTAATTGTCTAATTGGATATTTTTATTAACAACCAGCTGTATAGGTATGGCTTAAAAAAAGCGACTGTGAGATTAAGTAAAGGAGAAAGGTAGAACAAACAGCCTGGAGACATGATGTAAATGAAAAAGTAAATTTCAAATTTAACACCAACATTATGAGCACAGAGGCGGGACCTCTACACAAAATGACTTTCTGATTTCACAGACTTCAGTGTGACTCACTTACCTGCGTTTGTCCCACCACACCGCAGCCAACTCCCGGCTCTGTAGTGCCGCCATGATGACGTTGACATCATAGTTTCCCGTCCCTAACACCGACCGATGTGGGTTCACAACACACTGTGGAGCCAGCCTGCCACAAGAGAAAAAAGGCAGAGTTTTAAAAAACCAAATGTTATACTGCATCTTCTTTACAAAACTGTTTAGATTTGTTTTACTTTCTTGCATATAAATATCATCACAATGCATAACTGTTGTCCCAAAACAACCACACCGATATGAAAAAGCTGTGTTTTTGTGGGGTTGGGGTTGAGCTGCTCTGCATTCAAATAAATGTTGTTTGTCAAAAGCCACAGAGAT